ACCCAATCGTAACACTCTTGAGCAGCTGTGGGGGATTCTGTAGAGATGAGTTGAGCAACAGTCCAGGGCCCAGGGCATTTAAGGAGGTCATCCTCCAGGAGTTAAACAGGACAGATGTGGCAATTTGTCATGATCTTGTATACTCAGTGCCAAGAAGGAAATATTTAGTACTAGAATACTCATTTCTGTAATACTTTATTTAAACAAAATTGGATAATTTACTTCTTTTACAGATATTAATGACATACATTTCTCTGTTTTTAAGTATATGTTTAATACATTTCTATTTTGCCATCTTTCCATGAATTGTATTGGTGCACTGTGTATATTCCTTTCAACTGCTGCATCTTGCCGCAAACTTTAAACTGTTCTTATCCTTTCAGCCAAGAATGACTCCGACACAGAGGTGAATTCAAGGTAAGACTGCTGGATGTTGTTCATTTTATTCATTGTTCTCTGCGATGAGCTGGTGATTTAGTTTTTTCACATGATACATGACTGGAGCATTTCAACAGCCTCATCAAATCGCATGCTTTCTTTTACCATTTTCTTTATCAGGACTATCCACTAAACATTCTTTTTGTTTACTTTTGCATGTACGTTGGCAAAGTTTTTTGGTAAATCCAGGCTATAAGCATGAATTATAAACAGGAAATATTAAAAAATAGAAAGTACACCACTCTTTCAGTTTGGGAGACCTCATTGTTTCCTGTCCTGTCTTTGTCATGCAGTGGCCTGAAGGAAAACGATGGTGACTCCGATATGAGCAGTGATGAAGCTGACAGCCCCAGCAGGTATGAGGGGGCGGAGTTTAAGAGTTCTCTGAGAAACTTTGAACTGACTGAAAGCAAAAGGACACGCCTCCGAGAACTTGAGGTTAGTCATTCACTCATATTTTATGTCTCGCTCTCCCTCCCACACACTCACAGACAGACATGGAACTAGAGCTAACTGTGTTGCCAGGTACTATAAAAGTGCGGTTATGCATATTGCAGGTGAAGGTGATGAATTTCCAGGATGAGTTGGAATCGAGTAAGAGACAGAGGAAGTCCAGTATGACTCTCCAACAGCAAGTTCAACACTACAGAAACAGACTGCTACAGAAGGTACTACACACAGCAACTCTCATAATCGAGAATTACACAATATGCAGATGGTGGCTGATTGGTCAGTATGCATTCCAGTTGTGCTAAATGATACAAAACAACTGGTCACCACCAAGACATGTTTTTGGCTGGTAAATATTCTCATTTGACCTTTATATCAGCAAAGTGTATATGTATTATTTATGCCTGCTGTCTGCATAAGCACAGAATTCTGGTAGAACATTTTTAACTTCTGGTAAACTCACTTATTATTTATGTCTTTGTTTTTCTTTCTGTCACTGCTTCTTTAGGAGTTTGACAAGGACGACCAGGAAAAGAGAGACAAATATTCACAAAAACAGAAAGACCGGTCCAAAAAAGACGAGCGGAGAGATAAAGGGGAGGACAGGAGTAAAACAAGGGATAAAGAAAAAAGTAGAAAGAGTGAGGACAGAGAAAGGAGTAGAGGACGCAGTCGAGACAAAGAAGAGAGGAGAGAGAGGTATGCACTCATCTCTCTCTCTCACACACACACACACACACACACGCAGTTTATTACATTCCATTATCATTCAAAAACAGTTATTCACAATACCTTGACCAAGCACAATGCATCAAGCTTTCAGCGACAAGTAATTTCGTCCCCTTGGAATTATAAGGTTCTATCTGACATTTTTGTCAAAATTGAGTTATTCACATATTCTTATTCTGTGACAACTTATATACATTATGTGATAGATTTTTTAATGTTGTGTAATTTTGGGACTTTTTATTTAAAAAAACAAAAAGGTTCTATCTACACAGTCGATCTTTGAAGCTCAATATCTCAAAACTACTCGGAATGCAGATAGAACCTTATAATTCCAAGGGGACGATTTGTCTATTCACACTAAAATCAAAAAACACTTAAAGCCAATCAGAGCAGAGACTACCGTTCAAATGTTTGGGGTTGGTAAGATTTTTTTGAAATGTTTTTTAAAAAACCCACATCCTCTCTTCAGGTCATTTTGACCTGAAACTGACTTTCAATTAAAAAAAAAAAAAATCTAGTATTATAGTATGTCATTTTGACCCGGGATGGAAGGATTTGTTACACTTTACAATCTCTTATGCTCATCAAGACTGCATTTATTTGATCAAAAATTCAAACATTAATATTGAGAAATATTACAATTTAAAATAACTGTTTTCTCTTGCTATACATTTTAAAATGTTGATGTCACGTGATCCTTCAGAAATCATTCTTCATCAATATGCTTATTAGAATGATCATTTTGCTCCGCAAAATTTATTAGTAATGTTGAAAACAGTTGTGCTGCTTAATATTTTTGTGGAAACCGTGGTACATTTTTTTTTTCAGAATTATTTGATGAATAGAAAGTTAAAACAGCATTTCGTTAAAAGACATAATGTCTTTTCCATCATTTTTGATCAATTTAATGAATCCTTGCTGAATAAAAGTATTGAAACCTTACTGCCTTCAGACTTTTGAACGGTGTTATGTTTGACGCCATATGTAGCTCCCCCCTTTTCAGCGTATATGAACGAACTATATAGGACAAAAATATTCCAATATATTCAAGGACAAAATTCTAAACATGGCTGCATACTTGTTGCTCTAGCGCATTAGGTCTGTACAAGTGCGATGCTGGAGAGGTGAGATTTCACTGTTTGTGAGGTTACCCAGCACAGCGCTACAGAAAGAGAAACCAGCTGACCTTAGAAATATCCTGATGCTTGTGGTCACAGCTACTTGAATTATAATTGACTTGCTTGTCACTTTGTGTTGTTCTTGGTCATGTTACCATATCAAGTGTATGTGTGGATTTTACCACTCCTTTTATCCTCTGTCACTCTTTGTCTTCCATGAAGAACAAGATCCCGATCACCACGCAAGTCAAAACGCTCTCGATCACCATCACCACAGCACAAATCCTGGAGGTCATCGTCCCGATCACCACATCGCTCGCACAAAAAGGCCAAGAAGAGCAAACACTGAACTCTGACCCTTCGAACCCTGTGACCTCTGCAGTCATCTCGTAACACAGTCTGATGGAGCCTATGGATGGACTGCTTTCGTCATGCACATCAACATGTTTTTATTCCACAGTTCTGGCTGATTTACAGCTGTTCATTTGTTTCCAGAACGGTCCTCAGTGTGGTTGCTGCAATCACAACCCTGGGCTTGGCTGAGTTTTTCTAAGATGAAGTGTGAACTTGTACAGATCTTCTTTTTGTTTCGTAAACGGTTTTATTTGTGTTTTCCTCTTGTTTTAAATCTGGTGTTTAAAAAATGCTGCAAGATTGACCCCTCCGCCTCCAGACTTTACAATAAAAACAATTGTGGAAGGAAAAATGTGTCTTTTGAATATTATATAAGGAGTTAAAGGTTTTCACAAAGCAGTTGTTAAACATTGTTGAATATTTAAATGCTTCACAGTAACTTCTAATTATTGAATTGGAATAATCTAATTATTTGTTCATAGGAGGCTCGGAATAAAACTGCTAAAACTATTTGATTTGTAAGATCTTTTTCGAACTATTGGGGTTCTCACTTGGAAGAAAACTGGTTTTAAAAGACTTAATTTTCTCTAAAAACCACCCATTGTTAATGTTGAGAATGCAACTAATACCTTATCAATAAACATCTCACAACAATTATATAAAAATATTGAAACAAAATATTGTATAATCACAATACAACATAATACTGTATGTATTCATATATGAAATGCAATACAAATATGTATTTATATACTAAAACATACAGGCATGGATTCACAAGGAAAGAACATAATTATTGGGATTTGCTTTAAATATTTAATATGTAAGAATCTCAGGTGTTTTGTTGATTATAAAGCGTTGTGGGTTAACTAGTGATTCTAATTCAGTTCTAATAAGACAAAAGATGGGATACCATATGAAAACTTTTGCTTATGAATGAAATTTTTAGAGATTGTTTCCCTGTAGCACGGTCTTAAATGTCTTGCAGTTTATTGCTGCAGGACTAAGGCATGTTCACACAGATGAGCAGGAACCCTGGACATCTTTCTTCTGGTCAGTAGAAAGGCCCCTTTAATGTTGAAGTTATTGGAACTGTGACCATAGTTGTGCATTACATATAAACTGGTATTTGTGACAGTTTACAAAAATGTGATTATCACATGTAAACATGTAAAGTGTCTAAAGAACTGTCCCACCAGTGCATGTGCATTAATTGTTTCTGGTGATTTTACAATCTTTAAATACAGTATCCTGAAAAGGGGACTTTTCATTTTAAATACAATTGGCTTATTATATTGCCGTTGCTCTAAAAGAAAAACAAAAAATTTAAAATTGCATGGAAAATATGTCCTTTGCTCAGACATGGCAGTGAAAAATATTTTATTGCATACATGCAAAAACAAAACAACACACAGGGAAAATCTTTACATGATTTTTTTTATTATTCTTGGAATCATACACATAAAAAATCAGGTTCAATTATTTTTACAACATAAAATAACACTGACAACGATTCTTAAATTGAAATGAGTTCAGTTAGTGCTCATGTTGGAAATGTGAGATTTTGTGTTTTCCAGAAACATTGACTTTGGGGTTGAAGTGTGTGTGTGTGTGTGTGTGTTTGAAGGGCTGGCTACCTGTGTCTCCCATATCCATTCTGTCTCCATACAGGCTTGCAGTTTCACTCAGTCATTAAAATGGCTTCATTGCTCTATGCAAATTAAAGCCCTTTTTGAACATACAGTAACAATACCCCTTAAAATGATATCAAATTAAAAAGAAAGGAAGATAAAGAAAGAGGCGTATAGCTGTAATGAGGTTTGTCCCTGCTTCTCAACCGTCCCCACCTTCCAACTTCCTGGGTCCCTGTTCTCTGCATACAAGGCGGGGCTTATAATCTCCGCCTCCCAGAGCACTCTCCAGCAGCTGATTGGTCAATGAATGGGGGCTCAGTTAGGTGTAAAGTGACACTGATTTTGTTTTAGCTCTGTCCAAAAGCTGAGAGGAGCTTTAAAATCAATTCTATATACTTGCTGGGTGTCATATTCAGCACAAGCACTCAGTATTTCTTAACATTGACAAAAACTTTAATGGCTCCAGTGAAATCCGCAGAGAGCAAGACTTCAGAGTGGTCTGTTTTCAGGGCCCCTGAGGAAAAGAAGAAGAATGGGTTACTTTTGTTTAGTGCACTTTTGTGATCTTCACAATGCTATTTCCAGTCAGTACCTGATGGGATGGTCTCAGAGTCGTCTGTGCTGTCACTCTTACAGTCCGAGTCTGGTTTCTCTGTCCCAGCCTCCTGAGGCACGATGAGATCCGGATGCGGAGCAAAAATGGCTGAAGTAACTACGGCATTATGGGCTACAAAGCAGAAAGCACATGTAATATAAGACCCTAAAAGTACATACAGTAATTTTTGTTAGAACTTCACTATTGGGGGAAAAAATTTAATTGTGATTAAAACAACAACAACACTCCCACTCCAGGTTTGATGTGCTTGTTTGTAGGGCCAAAAAAATGTGTGATGATACATCAATATGACTGTAAAATAATACTAATACCAATACTACTAATAATAATTAAATCAAATGAAAGAAATTACAAATTAACAAATAAATAAATATTACTATTATTAAGTTTTAAATCATTCTAAGCAGAAAGCACATGTAATATAAGACCCTAAAAGTACATATAGTAATTTTTGTTAGAACTTCACTATTGGGGGAAAAAATTTAATTGTGATTAAAACAACAACACTCCCACTCCAGGTTTGATGTGCTTGTTTGTAGGGCCAAAAAAATGTGTGATGATACATCAATATGACTGTAAAATAATACTAATACCAATACTACTACTAATAATTAAATCAAATGAAAGAAATTACAAATTAACAAAAATAAATATTACTATTATTAAGTTTTAAATCTATTGTTGAATATTGAAAGAAAGAAACTCGTACAGGTTTGGAACGACATGAGGGTGAGTAAATGACAATTTTCATTTTTGGGTGAACTATCCCTTTAAAGCTTATTTTTTGTTGACAACAGCTGGTTTATAGGTGTGTATCATTACAAGTTTATGAAGATATAATACTAATACCAATACTACTAATAATAATTAAATCAAATGAAAGAAATTACAAATTAACAAATAAATAAATATTACTATTATTAAGTTTTAAATCATTCTATTGTTGAATATTGAAAGAAAGAAACTCGTACAGGTTTGGAACGACATGAGGGCGAGTAAATAATGACAACATTTTCATTTTTGGGTGAACTATCCCTTTAAAGCTTATTTTTTGTTGACAACAGCTGGTTTATAGGTGTGTATCATTACAAGTTTATGAAGATGATTGATACGCGATGCGTCCCCAGATGCAAAAGACCCAAATGCAAAGATGAATGAGCGTGGAACAGCATTTGCTCCAGACCATGTTGCACAGAGACAGAAAGCAACAGATCATGAGCTGCTCATTTATAAAAGATGTGCTTTACCCTGCACATATATATTTAAATAAATTGCAGTCTTTCGATTTGATAATCACACTAAGCCATATCACATTAACCTTTTGATTCTGACTAATCATGCAGCTCTAATGATCATGACCACGTTTTGAACACGGCAGCTGTACAACCTTCAGTCAGTCAAACATTCCAGAAATGTACTATTTGACAGACTGCCAAAACAAATAATTCCTGGAATGTTTTTATCTGTTTAACTGCCGCTGCTCTCAGTATATGATTCATTTTTGTTCCATCATTACCTTTGATCCCTTCCCAGAAGTCATTGCGGTCTCTCCGTACAGAGGTGAATTTGCTCAGGTCGTGGTATGTGCTCCAGATGTACACATACTTGTCCTCTGAGCCACTCACAATGAAAGAGTAGTCGTGACTACAAGAACAAGACGAGATCCTTGAGATTCACTCATATCTTCCAACTTTCCGTAGAAGTGTAAGATCAGAGATGGACATATCTGGGCTGTGTGTCTTTCAGACTTGCTCTTCTCACCTGAAGCTGGCTTTGATCTGACTGCTGCTGTTCACGTAGCCTTTGTACTTCATAGACAGAGACAAATCTCTGAGGTCATACAGGCGAATGCGAGAGTCGTTTGACGTCACCAAGATCTGCAGAGAAAAAGGAAGTTAGCATTAACTGAGTCTAAAAGATGCTGTCAAGTTTTATCACCTTGACATGAATAAAAACATCATTATTCATGGTATACTTCAGTAAATAAATAGGGGTTTAAGTCTATCTGCAGTCTTTTTCTATTTTCAGTCTATTTCATCTTACCTTGTTCTCTCCTGGCAGCGGCTCAATACCAGTGATTTTGCGGCCCACACGATTCCTGCCTCTGGTGGAGCGGACATGGATTTGGGTGTGATATTTAAGGCGCTGAGTAGAGCATGATGAAAGAAGGAGTAAGTGATTAATAATCGACTATTTAGGGTTGGATTTCTAAATCACTGCTGTATATATTGTGTTTTTCAGAATCCCATTTCATTTCAAGTGACAATCATTGCTCCCATCTAACTCTTACAAGAATAAACACTCACCTCTGTGTCATAGAAAATGCAGCGTCCATCGTAGGTGCCAATAACTGCATATTTTCCATTCTGGCAGAAGTTAGCTGCTGTTATCAGACGCGTCTGTCCGTCCACCTCATTCCACAGTGCCACTTTCTTATCTGGAATATTCCATAACCGCAACTTTCCGTCCAAAGAACCACTCAAAAAATACCTGTCATCCTGAGGGAAAAACACAGTACCATTCAAATGTTTAGGGTCAGTTAGATTTTTTTTTAAAGAAATTCATAGTTTTATTTAGCAAGAACACATTAAACTGATTATAACTGACAGTAAAGACATTTATAATATTTGATTTTAATAAAGGTATTTATTTGAACTGTCTATTTATCAAAGGATTCTGAAGAAATGCATCATGTTTCCACATAAATATTAAGCAGCACAACTTTCTTCAACATTGATAATAATAAGAAATGTTTCTTGAGCACCAAATCAGCATATTAGAATGACTTTTGGAGGATCATGTGACACTGAAGACTGGAGTAATGGCTGCTGAAAATTCAGCTTTGTCATCAAAGGAATTAATTACATTTTAAAAAACCCTTTATAATAATATTTAACTAGGGGCCAGATTTACTAAACAGGGCAAATTAGCATTAGAGTGTTATTCCATAAAAGCGCTGATGGGAGGGGAAATTCTGTGGCTGATTTATTAACAATGCACACATTAAAGAACCCAGACGCAGCCAGATCATTTCCATAAAGACCAACACAATCTACCAAGAGCAGCACAAATTACCGCCTGCTTTAAGACATGCTTTTTGGGCGTTAAATAATGGCGCAGTCATTTGACTAGCGCAAACGTTAGTAAACTGCATTGCATTGATTCATTTTAATACTCTCCTCCCATAAATTTTGCATCTGAAAGGGAAACTCCTACAAATGCATATTAACTAAGATCAGGCGCAAAAATAACTGTGTCCATGCCTTTTCAGCGCTAATTCTTCACTGCGCAGATTTGGTAAATACTGACAGTACTATTTTAACGCCAAAAGACGGTTTGCACTAGCACAAGCTGTTAGTAAATCTGGCCCTACATCTGCTTTTTCCAACCCCAAAAAGTAGTGTATACCCGAGAACACACGAAGCACACTTACCCTGGGATGAAAAGCGATGGCTGTAACAAAGTCTATGTGCTGAAAACAGCAGAGACACTCCCTCCTGGAGATGTGCCACAAACGAACCGTCTTATCCATTGATGATGACAGCAGGAAGTAGTTCTACTCAGAAAAGAAGCAATATAATTATGTCCAATTCCTCTTCATTATACTGTGAACTTCAAATGTTTTCCACACTTAGGTGGTTCAGTAGAGCACTGATGACCATAAGCTCTCACCTTCGACCAGGACAGATCCAGCAGGTCAGCAGTGTGACCCTTGTACTTGCAGAACGGAACTTGCCGGAACGGCACGTTTCTGTCCTCAGTGTCTGCATCTTCCACTGCAGCACCAAACTGAGCGAGAGAAAGCAGGAGAGACCAATATCATAGCTTTTAATAATCACTTATAAGCATGAAATACAAAACAGAGAAACCTAAAATAAATAAAAAAGCCTTACCCCTCCTTCAGTATCTGATTTTGAGGAACAAAGACTCTCCTGAGAGGGAGATGGTGACACACGTCCTGTGAGAAATAAGAGACACCTTTTTTTTTTTAAAAAAGGAAACCAAGCACAAAAATAGTAATTACAGATATTTTACTCTATATATTTGTGTGTGATTATTAGAGAATCACACCTTTAGCTTAGCAACAAGCTAACACCAAACTTTACGGAAATCAACTGCAAGCACTCCATGCAGAGTGATACTAGTGCTGCCTATGTAGAGAGCTCCAATTCTGGTCACTTATGAGGCTTCAAGATGCTTATAAGATCTTGCTAGGTTTTAAAACAGAGCTGGTTGATTTGCATACGCTCTACATGGGCAGCAAAACAATAGCGCTGTGCTTTGAAAGTCATTCGCTTTTATTGATTTTCAGTGTTTACTTCCTAGATAAAGATCAAGCTTAACCTTGGGCTAAACTACACAGTGAGTGGGGATTCATCTTTTAAACGTAAATCTAGCTCTAGTAATTCATTTCATTATGAACAGGTCCATTCAACACATTTGACAACCAGAGAGTGTTCAAATACTTTTTGGGGCCACAGTATAAGAACTATGTGAAAGCTACAGGATGTTATGAATAGACAGATGTCTCTATATACAAGAGTGTGCATGTGTGTGTTACCTTCTGTGTTATATTTTATTCTCATATTGTTGAAATAGTCATAGGCATTTTTTAGGACCCAGATCCGAACCACATTATCCTGCCCTGCTGTAGCCAACAGCCGCCCACAATGAGAGAATTTCATTGTCCAGACGGCACCCTGAGAGAGACAGAGGGGAAGGAGGAGTGGTCAAATCTCTGAATAAATAACTAACAACATCACAGATCACAAAACATGCTAAAGTTCACATTAAAGGTCACACACGCTCTCCTCACCATGTGTTCTCCACTCAGGTCCTGCACTACTTTGATTTGGTCAAAGTCAAAGGGCCCTTTGAAGCTGTGAGCAGCTTTAAACTTGACCGGTCGGGTGTACGGCATCCCCTCATCATCACTGGAGGATGGGTCATCCTGGTCTGTGTGGAACACTTCATCCCGAACGCTTTTGACTTTATTTACGGCTTTCTCTCCATATTCCTCCGCCAAGTGCTTCGCCCTCTTCACAGACTTGCCCAGAAACTTTTTCAGCTGTGTACTGAGTGAATAGAGAAGAACAGACAGAATATGTCTAAAAAATAACCCTCAGTGGTCCTTCACGATATATGCTTTTTATTTGGTCAATTACACTACCATTCAAAAGTTTGAGGTTTGTAATATTTTTTAAGAATTTTTTTTTTTTTTCAATGCATTTGTAACGGCATATTAGAATGATTTCTGAAGGATTGTGTGACACTGAAGACTGGAGTAATGACTGCTGAAAATTCAGTTTTGCCATTACAGGAATAAATTGCATTTTAAAATACAATAAAATAGTTATTTTAAATTATACAAATAATTTCACAATATTACTGTTTTACTGTATTTTTGATCAAATAAATGTAGCATTGGTGAGCATAAGAGGCTTCTTAAAAAAAATTAAAAAAATAAAACTTTTAAACAGTAAAGTACATTTTATTTTCTCCTAATTGTGTATTTTTACTCAAAACTATGACTAGAGTTATAAATAAACATCCATCTCTTACGTTCTCTGTTTCAGTTTCCCTCCATCTGTGTCTGTATTTGCAGGCTGGGACTTTTCATCATCATCAGACTGCGCCGCATCATTTCTGCCAAGAAAAAAAAGAAAGTGTGAGATCCCACCCTAAAGCGTTCAGAGCTGCTGGCTTTCAAAATTAGGTTGCATTTAATCCTGATGTAAAATGAGAAATTAGGAACACTGATCCAGGACCAGATCCAGCTACCCAACTGTTTTAGATTAACCACACTAACAGAAACTACAAAACTGTTATCAGCTCAGCATTATGAAGCATTTCTTGCCAAAATGTTCCACTTGTGTTCAAGTGGTTTCAAATCAGAAGAGAGCGGAAAAGGAGAAGGGATTACATGCCTTCTCCCTTCGAAAGAGAAAAACAGTCTGTAGGTTTCATTCTGGCTGATAAAATGAGGGCAGATGAGAGTGTAGTGAATCGGATTACTGATAGGATTCGATTCTGCTGCCTGAGGGCCCCACCACATCAGCACAAGCAGAGTGTCAAAAAAGAAAAATGATCCTTGATATTACACATAAAATGTAAAATCAGCTCCGAAGAGCTCCAAAACTCTGTGATGGATTGTGGATTATAGGATACAGTAGGACATCTTAGACGCCATGACGTCTCGAACATTTGTCCATGTTTTCATAGTGCCAAATCAGAAAACTTGTGTATCTACGTCTTAGATTCAAGTGAACAGTTGGTGGTTCTTACGAGATATACTCCTTGGTTCTCCTCATGATGTGCAGTGTGAGCGGGTTGATTCCAGTCGGGAGTTTCTCTTCCGCCTGGATCAAAGGGATCTCCTCACCAGTGTCCAGATTCTTGATCATCACGCTTGCAAGAATCTCCTGCATAACAAAAACACATGGATTACTGCCTTGAGTAATAATCATTATAAGAGATTCATTACATCACAAAGACATAAAAACTGCAGCAGGCCGTGTAAAATACAACCAAGCAAAAGCCTCTCCCAAATGAATGAATGGAGCAGTCGCCCTCCTAATGTGGTTATTCCCCACATACCTGCTTTTCAGCTAATCAGTTACAACTATTAGGTAACCTAACCATATTAATATAGTCTTGCTAAAGTTTAGAATGTGCCCCTCCCACTTTTTAGTTCACAGAGTGCTGCAGGAATGCATCCTAAAACCCAGAAGCAAGTACGGTTCCATCATCCCGAAGTCAGTGGGTTTTTGGAGAAATGCCAAGTTTTATTCTACAACATAAAATATATCAGTAACAATCCCACTTGTGATTCTTTATAAATTAATGCATTTTACTGGTTATTTACCAAGTAGCTAAATGGAACTACAAGTTGTCGGTGATGTTAAATGTCATTAAGCTGAAGAGATAAACTCAAACTGTCCAACTTGTAGATTTCTAATAAAGACTGAAAGAGTTGTTGGAAGCTTAGTGGTGGTGTTGTTGACTGTGGAGTAGTTCATTTATAAGAATCCACAGAGCTTATTTTCTGCAATAATCCAAAAGCTAATAGAAACGTCCTATTGGCTTTTTGTTGAGGGAAACAGTGTGAACTTCTAGGTTGGCCTACAAAACTACATCCATGCAGCACTCTATTCTTATGCTCATCTTGCAACATAGGTTCACATGAATGCAAGTATGTGCGCACTAGGGCTGCACGATAAATCGAAATGGAATTGAGATCGCGATTCGACAGAAACTGCGATTGTCATGCGTATCTTTCAGTGAAGCACTGTTCTGTGATCAGCAGTAAATCTCCATCCAAAGGCCAGAGGGCGCTCTCGCGCTGAAACTCCAAATACGCCTCGCAGAAGAAACCCAGAAAATGCCTATGCTGCAGCTGAATAAACAGAAGATTCAGCTGCTTTCATTGATTCAACGTGACTAATAAACACACGACTACGGCAATATACGGTTAATCTTGGTTCTTATTATAATTTTTATTAAAATAAAGTATATTTATAATGCAGTGCCTTTATCACTGCTTAAATACTATGACATATGTTGCGTGCCTTATTCTGTGTAAGAAGCCACATCATCTCACAGAAGGATTTATTTCAAACACTCGACTGACGTTATGAAGTGAGTTTGGAGTAAAAATATGTTATTAAATGTGGTATTTTCACATGCTTTCAGATGGAGCAGCATTTACTTCACAGAGCCGTAGTTCACTGAGAAGCTATGCAAACAGCTGTCATTATCGCGAACGATTTCTTTGATTTCATAATCACGCAATAAAATTGTCTGTGATTTTTTTGCGTAACTTGTCAGTGAACTACGGCTGTGTGTAGTAAATTCTGCTCCATCTGAAAGCACGTGATGATGATTTCCTGCTGATTACAGAACCGGCTTTACTAACAAAATGCGCATAACAATCGCATTCGATTAATCGTGCAGCCCTAGAGGTTGCTACCAAAAATAAATGGTCATGTTTCACCTCAAAAACCAAGAGAGGGAAAAAAATAGCAAAATATGAAATAGATTCTTGAGATTCCCCCAGTTAGGTGGAAAGCTCTACACATATTTCCATTAGACATTTATTCATTAATTTTTTTATTTGCATTTTTTATTTTTTTATTTGCATATATTATCATGATAATTATGCACATTTCCTCCCCCAAAATTCATCAGTAATACACTCGGATGTTTTATTTTTAAACTTTTTTTGCAATTGTCATTATTCTCAATGTTCATTGTTATTATATTCTCATAAATGTAATGTAGTATTTTTACTTAATGCAAAATATAATTTCTATAGTTTCAAAATATTGTTTATTTATTGTGATTTTACAGTTGAAATGTGCGTTTTCCCAAAAGCATCGTAAGCCTAAATAGATCTTGGAGACATTTGGTGCCAAATGGAGGGAAATGTATTGCTTTTACGTGTTGTTAATGGTTCAAGTGAGAGAAGTCAAGCTTTTTCTTAATTTTTTGTACCTTATTTTATTTTATATAAAATGATTTTATTTTAAATGTTTGACAGATTTATTTCTAGTCAGAAACTTTGGCATGACGCAGCATAAGAGGAGTTAGTAATGGCTAATGGGATCAATCTGCACATCCTGACTGAAAACTATCATCACAGAGAGCTTTCCATCCTAAGTTTAAAGTGATTTCTACTTAAGCTACTTAAGGAAAGTAGTGCTTTGCTTCTAGAATAAGGTTTTGAGTTGCGTTTCGCACAAAGAAATGGTCATTAACAAGTTCTTCAGTGAGTTATTAACACTCCCTCATGGCTCAGTAAATGTCTCGTTTCATTCACAATGCATTTCATTCGCGCAAGCAAGCCTCTGCTCTTCAGAAACCGGGGATTTCTAGCCTAATGAATGATTTATGCAGAAGCGTATGAGTCTTTCAACAGGCGATCTAGGATGCTGACACAGACATTACAGCAGCTGCTCCAAAAATTATTATTATAATTTTCATTAAAATAAAGTATATTTATAATGCAATGCCTTTATCACTGCTTAAATACTATGAAATATGTTTCGTGCCTTATTCTGTGTAAGAAGCCACATCATCTCACAGAAGGATTTATTTCAAACACTCGACTGACGTTATGAAGTGAGTTTGGAGTAAAAATATGTTATTAAATGTGGTATTTTCACATGCTTTCAGATGGAGCAGCATTTACTTCACAGAGCCGTAGTTCACTGAGAAGCTATGCAAACAGCTGTCATTATCGCGAACGATTTCTTTGATTTCATAATCACGCAATAAAATTGTCTGTGATTTTTTTGCGTAACTTGTCAGTGAACTACGGCTGTGTGTAGTAAATTCTGCTCCATCTGAAAGCACGTGATGATGATTTCCTGCTGATTACAGAACCGGCTTTACTAACAAAATGCGCATAACAATCGCATTCGATTAATCGTGCAGCCCTAGTGCGCACAAACATTACCTCATCTGTAAGCTCTCTTCCTGAGTTAGACCTTGGTCTTTGCGGTCCAGCAGTCTCGCTTCCAGTAGGACTTGATGTTTGCTCATCATTTTCCTGCTTATACAAAAGAACAGACAGAAATGTACGATGTCAAATATTCATGTGAAATCTAAATATTTATATTATTTGAAATGGCTGTAATTAAATGTGAACCTGTGCAGTGACCACTTTATCACCACTAGTGGCGCTAGCGAGGTCCAGTGAGTGCTGGAGTTCTTTAGCAATACATCGTACTGTGGTGTTCGGGCTGACCAATCCACACAGCTCGTCCACTGGCTCTACAGAGACTGACCAATCATAGAGAATGTTATCGCTTTAGTCATTAATTAGTTAATATTTCGCATTTCAGTGGAAAAAGTTGGTTTACTTGTTAAACCAACAATTTTTTTAAACTCTTACCTTCTAGCCCTGCTGGTCGCATCACTTCCTGGGATTTTTTAGCTGAAAAGCTGGGCCGTGAGGGGGGAGGCGGCCTTGGAGGAGGAGCACCAGTGGGCGGAGGTGGCCTTGAGGGCGGTTGCTTCTTGGTGCTAGCTACAATATCTGGCTCCACTGTAAACTGTCTGGGAGGTTTAGAAGGGCCAGGGCCATCTGCATCACTCATAGGGACCTGTTCAAGAATATCAGCTGTTTCTGCACAAGGCAGGGAGGTGGGTTGCGATGGTTGACCCAAAGCGCTTGTAATGTCAGGAGGGGGTGGCATAGCCTGGTCCTGACCTGCTTGGGCAGGACCAGCCACATCCGGTGCTCTGTCCTGAATGTCCTGTGACCTCACTTCCTTCGGCCTTACATCAGGCTCAATGCAACCCGACTCGTGTGGTGTTACATCAGGATCCTCTGGAGGCACCAGGGTGCCCTCAGGAACCAAGTTTTCTTTAACACTGCAGCCTTCTGCTCCTGCCCTCTCCCCTTCAGATGTGGCCGCACAGGCCTCCTCTACTCTCAACAACTGATCTTCCACTCCACTTTTCTGACTCTCTTCTATAATACTGGCAATGATCTGGAAAGAACAATCAGAAAGAGGGACAGTCAGAAAACTGTGCTTTAGCATTCACGTAGAATGCAATTGTTCATCAAAACAAAAGCTTTGTTTACACTAGGCATCTAATCTTATAGTGTTTCCCTACAACATCAATAATGATTTAGGTCTCAAGAGAGCTCAGGGTTCACATTTATTGATCAACAAGACTTTGGCATCCAGACAACTTGCAATATGCACTCAGGAGGAGCCGAATTATCAGGAGAGTTTCAAATACACATACTCCGCATTGATTTTTGTTTACTGGCACAAAATACTGAGTATGTTTTGATGCAAGGTTTTCCCATTTCTTTCGAAAGTTTATTTAACAAGCTACTTATTTTTCTACCCTAATAAAGCATGATTAGACAGCAAGTTGAGATTTAATATTTGCATTAAGCATTTTTCTTGCTGGGTTGCAACTAACCTGTTGACACAGACCACTTAAGAGAAATAAAATTTTTTGGGCAGACATCCAACACCAAACATACACTAGAGAGCACAGAATGCTTCTGTTATAATTACTTATAAGTGAAACGAAGAGAAAATGAAAAGAGAGAAACTAGATATAAGGAATAAAATGCGGAAGGTAAGAACGGCAAAGCTCTATCATGGCCAAACCTGAAGAGAATCGTCATGGCGGGATTCAGGCTGAGCCAATCCAGCGGTGACGTCTTGTACCACACTCTCTGCAGGACCCTACAGGCAATCAAAAGCAAAAGATGAAAACACATCCAATTCTTTAATACAAACCTTCCTGTCAGTTATTTATACAAAAATGTCAAGTCAAATGTCCTTACAAAGTCAAATACAGTTCCAGAATTCTCTAAATGTTCTTTAAACAGCAGTTGAGCCCTGGTTTGTTTGGCAGGATCTGTTTTATGTAAATTATTAAACAGAACTAGAGCAAAGCCTCAAATTCTACTATCAGCCTCTGATCATCTTTCCATCCTGCACTCATGTGACTAAAGAACTTCTCTAATAGGTTAGAACCATCAACCAACTAAGACATATGCCTCAAACAAACCCAAACACTGGCCAACACAGAATCTGACCGTATTAACACCCTCCCCCTTTGCATGTTCATGTAATGCATGTTTTTGCTCACGTTATTATTACTTCAGCTACCAATAAGGTTGTAGTGCATTTAATTCTACTTAAAGGGTCATGAAACCCCAGACTACTTTTTCTGAGATTTTAGCAGAGGTGTTTGTGAAAACTGGTTAATTTTAAGCTTTTTTGCGCTATTTTCATCTTCCAGGTTTAAAATCTACATCATGTTGACGTCACAATTTGTGACGTGGCAAAGGACTATAGTACATCGATGACGCATCGGTGTCTATTAAATTATTCATGAGACTGCGTGTTCTTATCCTATGAGAAGACGCTTCGATTAATTATTCACAACAGCATGTGTTGATTTGCTATGACAGACGTTTCAGACTGTGAGATGACATCGCGCACATTAACTGAGAGAAAGATTTATGGATCGAAGGAGAGCGTTTGTTTTTGCTTTGTAATAAGAGTTCGGCACAAACGCGATTCATTCACTTAGTGAGTGTAACCGTTTTTACAGCTCCGTGACACAAGCCGTCAAAAGGCTTATATAAACGCAGCAGAATAAGCCTAAAAAGTTATCAGAGGTGCAACAGCGCGTTCATATATATGTTTTCAATGCAGAGTGCAAATGGCTGTGCATTTATTTGTTTTTAACTCGATGTGAGTGAAATAAAACTGTCTGAACTGAAGCTGTGTGTGTTGTCTGTTTCCCCTCTTCACTCTTGGCTCTTCCCCCTCTGCGCACCACGCCCACTTTTTTTAGCATTTTTTAAAACTGTAGTGAGAACTAACAATACTTTGTGTGCAAAAACAAAACAGAAATAACGACTTTATTCAACAACTTCTCTTCTGTCATTCTCATACGTCGTTTACGTCCAGCGCTTCCAGGTTCTACGTCAGAACGCCGGCTCATTATTGGACGGCTCCTGCATCAGCATCACACGCATGCGCTGCTCACATGTGAGGCTTTGGCCAATAATGAGCCGCGTTCGGACGTAGAACACGGAAGCTTTAACTGTGCTCACTGCGTTAAACGCATAAGGATAATGACAGGGAAGAGAAGAGATTGCTGAATAAAGTTATTATTTTTGTTTTGTTTTTGGTGACGTCACACAGACAAGAAGCTAAGAATGGCTTGATTTGAAAAGAGGATATTATTTTTAGGGATTAAAGGGGTCATGATGCGATTTCAAGTTTTCCTTTCTCTTTGGAGTGTTACAAGCTGATTGTGC